TATATATATATATTATGTTCAGAAATAATACAAGGAAAATGCTTTACAAAAAATCTGTAAAGTCAAGGTAATTCAAACTTAAAATGACTTAAGACACCAGTAGACTATTATTAACTATAAATATTCTGTAAAAACAATGAACAGCAGCTTTAAGTCTGTCACCATGATGCAAGCATGAAATATCAGACATACAGTAGTAGTTCTTTACCTTTACAGGTTTGCATTGGATTGCGCTGCTTTTCCACAGTTTTTTGTAAACATGGACACGTTTGATGCTGCGCTCGCATTTCTTGAAGCGTCTCATGCATGAAACGGCTTTCTAAAAACACTGGGCTCAAGTTAAAAGAAGTGCAACTCCCATCTTCCTGCATTTTTTCCTATTCCACTGCATCGGTCTCAACACAAAAGCACATTCTGTGTGAATGGCACCTTACGGTCCTTCGGTTTCATCATTGTTTTCTCTTTACGGTTAACACTGGCATATTGTCAAAGTGTCTAATTCTAACGTTTGTAATATTTCTATTCAAAATGGTGATTGCTCGATTTATAAAAACTAAAATTGTGGCAAAAAATTAAAGGCACTATGTAATTTTCGACAAGACAAGGGCGTAGTTTGATGATGCCGTGACTGAGTGTGGAATCATGGGAGTTGTGGTCTTCATCCCCACAGCCGATGCAATCCAACGGGACTCGGGCAGAAATCATGTTCATGGATGAGCTAATGATTTATTAATGTAGTAGAATGAAGCAGGGTGAGGCTGAAAGCCGTCGAAGTGAAACGAGGCCGCTGAACGAGCACGAAACGCCGCTGAACGAGCTCGAAAGCAGTGGAGCTTTTATTATGCCACAGTCGGCTGCTTCCGGTCGTGCGTATATGGGGTAAAGCAGCTGAACTTTTATTATGCCACAGTCGAGCGCTTCCGCTGCTTCCGGTCGTGCGTATGTGGGGTAAAGCAGCGGAGCTTTTATTATGCCACAGTCGACTGCTTCCGCTCCTTCCGGTTGTGCGAATGGTTGTGCATATATGGGGTAAAGCAGCTGAGCTTTTATTATGCCACAGTCGACTGCTTCCGCTCCTTCCGGTCGTGCGTATGTGGGGTAAAGCAGCGGAGCTTTTATTATGCCACAGTCGACCGCTTCCGCTGCTTCCGGTCGTGCGTATGTGAGGTAAAGCAGCGGAGCTTTTATTATGCCACAGTCGACCGCTTCCGCTGCTTCCGGTCGTGCGTATGTGAGGTAAAGCAGCGGAGCTTTTATTATGCCACAGTCGACCGCTTCCGCTGCTTCCGGTCGTGCGTATGTGAGGTAAAGCAGCGGAGCTTTTATTATGCCACAGTCGACCGCTTCCGCTGCTTCCGGTCGTGCGTATGTGAGGTAAAGCAGCGGAGCTTTTATTATGCCACAGTCGACCGCTTCCGCTGCTTCCGGTCGTGCGTATGTGAGGTAAAGCAGCGGAGCTTTTATTATGCCACAGTCGACCGCTTCCGCTGCTTCCGGTCGTGCGTATGTGAGGTAAAGCAGCGGAGCTTTTATTATGCCACAGTCGACCGCTTCCGCTGCTTCCGGTCGTGCGTATGTGAGGTAAAGCAGCGGAGCTTTTATTATGCCACAGTCGACCGCTTCCGCTGCTTCCGGTCGTGCGTATGTGAGGTAAAGCAGCGGAGCTTTTATTATGCCACAGTCGACCGCTTCCGCTGCTTCCGGTCGTGCGTATGTGAGGTAAAGCAGCGGAGCTTTTATTATGCCACAGTCGACCGCTTCCGCTGCTTCCGGTCGTGCGTATGTGAGGTAAAGCAGCGGAGCTTTTATTATGCCACAGTCGACCGCTTCCGCTGCTTCCGGTCGTGCGTATGTGAGGTAAAGCAGCGGAGCTTTTATTATGCCACAGTCGACCGCTTCCGCTGCTTCCGGTCGTGCGTATGTGAGGTAAAGCAGCGGAGCTTTTATTATGCCACAGTCGACCGCTTCCGCTGCTTCCGGTCGTGCGTATGTGAGGTAAAGCAGCGGAGCTTTTATTATGCCACAGTCGACCGCTTCCGCTGCTTCCGGTCGTGCGTATGTGAGGTAAAGCAGCGGAGCTTTTATTATGCCACAGTCGACCGCTTCCGCTGCTTCCGGTCGTGCGTATGTGAGGTAAAGCAGCGGAGCTTTTATTATGCCACAGTCGACCGCTTCCGCTGCTTCCGGTCGTGCGTATGTGAGGTAAAGCAGCGGAGCTTTTATTATGCCACAGTCGACCGCTTCCGCTGCTTCCGGTCGTGCGTATGTGAGGTAAAGCAGCGGAGCTTTTATTATGCCACAGTCGACCGCTTCCGCTGCTTCCGGTCGTGCGTATGTGAGGTAAAGCAGCGGAGCTTTTATTATGCCACAGTCGACCGCTTCCGCTGCTTCCGGTCGTGCGTATGTGAGGTAAAGCAGCGGAGCTTTTATTATGCCACAGTCGACCGCTTCCGCTGCTTCCGGTCGTGCGTATGTGAGGTAAAGCAGCGGAGCTTTTATTATGCCACAGTCGACCGCTTCCGCTGCTTCCGGTCGTGCGTATGTGGGGTAAAGCAGCGCTGTTTTATCATACTAGACACATTTGAACGTACTGTTATAATGCTACTGAGCGGTCGTCAACGGTCTAATAAAACACACAACATATTAAAGTGTCTTTGGTGTTTCCATGTTTTCTGCAAAACGGAAATCGAGGGGTTATGACGTCATTAGCAGGCGACGCAGTGACACTATGGACACGCTCCGTGTCACTAGTTAAAATTGCTTATTTCTCTGGATTGAAACATTCTTCGAAACATTTGGGATAATGTAAGTACACAAGTCAGCAAAATATATGACACTGTTCTAGTGGTTTTTGGATATTGTAATAAATAATCTTACATATTGTGCCTTTAAATTCGAATTAATCGATGAATTCTGAAAAATCACCCAGCCCTACTTATACCCATAATATTTGAGTAAATACAGCTTTAAGAGCCTCTGGATTATATGTGTAGTTCAGTAGTTTAATGTGAGCCTCAGACGAGGTTTGTGTGGCGTCTGATGCTCTGCTGGTGGTTTGCAGAGCTGTTCACCACGGAGGCGTCTCACCTGCGGACGCTGCGGGTTCTGGATCAGGTGTTTTATCAGAAGATGCAGAGCGTCCTCAGTCCAGAAGAGCTGTCCTGCATCTTCCTGAACCTGCGCCACGTCTACGAACTACACGGTCAGTGCTTGTTATACATTACTGTTGTACTGTGCAGTTACGGGTGTTTTCACTGTTGTTATCACACTTACATTGTCATTGTTCATGTTTGTGTTGAATGCTGTATATTATGTCTAGTAAGGTGTGTGTGTGTGTATATATATATGCATGCAGGATGGAAATGAAAATAAGACTTGACTTGAAAGCTTGTGTTACAAACCAGTTCGCTATAAATCAGAAAATGAACTTTGAATGCAGTATTATAAGTTTCTCTGCTGAATGCATACGTGTAATACTTAAGGCCTAATGTTGTTTTTCTATCCCAGCGAGCTTATGTGAGGCCATGAAGAAGCGCAGGGAATCGCCGGTTGTTCAGGGCATCGGAGACATCATGCTGGCCAGAGTGAGTGTCTCGCTCCTCTTTTGTCTTAGTTAAGTTAAAGGAATAGTTCATCAAAAAATGATCATTTGCTGGAAATCTACTCTCTCTCAGGCCGTCCGAGATGTTTGTTTCTTCATCAGATTTGGAGAAATGTAGCATTGCATCACTGGATGCTCTGCAGTGAATGGGTGCCGTCAGAATGAGAGTCTGATAAAAGCATCACAATAATCCACAAGTACAGCACTCCAGTCCATCAGTTAACATCTGGAGAAGACCAAAGCTGAAACAAATCCAGCATTAACACGTTTTTAACTTCAAACTGCTGCTTTCATAATCCATAATATAGTTTCATTTCTCCTGAATCGGGAGAGAAATCTGCACAGATCAAGCACTCTAAACAAATATATGGGTGGATTTTGATGTGAGAGGACAACAGATGATGAACTTTTTTACTGGAGGAAGCGTTATTATGGATTATGGACTATTATATTAGCCTTAAATGTTAAAAACACCTTAATGGTGGGTTTGTTTCTCATAAACATGCAGCTTTTTTCTTCTCCAGATGTTAACTGATGGACTGGAGTGGTGTGGATTATTGTGATGTTTTTATCAGCTGTTTGGACTCTCATTCTCACGGGTGAACCGCTCCTTTAAAAGCAATGCTTTTGCTCATGAAGCGTACGAGTCATGCAGTATGTGTGTTGTAGCTGGAGGGAGAGGCTGGAGATCAGTTCGAGGAGCAGGTGTCTCATCTGTGCAGTCAGCAGAGTCAAGCGCTGGAGCTCATCAAGAGCAAACGGCGCAAAGACCCTCGCTTCGCTCACCTCATACAGGTAAGGCGTGCACCAGTGCTTTCCCAGGTCATCCACGGATGATACGGCTGTGTGTTGATGTTGTGTGCTGTCTGTCAGGAGTGTGAGGCCAGTCCTCACTGCCGCAGGTTACAGCTGAAGGATCTGCTTGTGGCTGAGATGCAGCGCTTGACTAAATACCCTCTGCTGCTGGACAATGTCATCAAACACACAGAGAGTGAGTGAACACACACACACACACACATTAGGGTCAGTAGGGTGTGATGAAACACGCAGCACTGGCTTACGATCAGGCTAAAATGAGAGATCTTAGAAAGCATCATTTGATGCCTGTAGTTTGGAACATGAAATATAAATGCATTTATTAAATTATTAATGGTTAAAATATTGTTACTGCTATATATTAATGGTGTGTTTTTTAAATTAACATTTTAATAGTAAATAAAAATAGAATCATATACGAAAACAATGTACTGACTCCAAACTTTTGCATGCTATATATGTATATATATATATATATAGAAGATTTAGAATGTTACAGAAGATTTCTATTTTAAATAAATGCTGTTCTTTTGAACTTTCTATTCATCTGTGAATCCTGCAAAACAAGAGGCATCGCAGTTTCCACAAAGATATTGGCAGCACATCTGTTTTCTAATAATCAGAAGTGTTTCTCGAGCAATAAATCAGTATATTAGAATGATTTCTGAAGATCATGTGACTCTGATGACTGGAGTAATGATGCTGAAAATACAGCTGCGCATCACAGAAATACATTACATTTGATTCAAATAGACAAAATTTTAAATTGTGATAATCTTTCTCAATATTATATCTGTGTGCAGCGGCGTCTCCGGACCTGCAGCTGCTTCAGAGAGCTCAGGCCCGTTGCCGTGGGATACTGCAGGCTGTTAATGAGGTCGTCAGGGAGACGGAGCACCGGCATCGGCTCGGCCAATACCAGCGCAGGCTGGACCTGACGCCTCTGGAGCGGCTGGCCAATCCCGTCGCAGCACAGTTCAAGGTACGAGCCGTTCGCGGTCCTTCACGAGCCCCGTCCCCTCGTCACTGACAGTAACACCGCTCTTCATGCTGTCGGTTCTCTCTCAGAATCTGGATCTCACCACTAAGAGGATGATCCATGAGGGGCCGCTCACGTGGAAAGTCAGCAAAGACAAAGCCATCGGTAAAGATGTGTGACGCACATGGACAGAATCAAAATGCAATTAACTCAAAATCACCATAGTTACCGTAGTGTCTGCTAAAATGCATTATTAATATAGGAGTTTTTGCTACAGTAAGATGCGGTAAAGCACATTTTTGTAAAGGAAGTTTCTTTCCTATGTTGACTTTTAGATGTACAGTTTATATATACAAATATATGTGACCCTGCAGCACAGAACCAGTGTTAAGTCGCTGGGGTATATTTGTAGCAAAAGCCAAAAATACATTGTAAAAATATTTTGTACATTTCCTACTGTAAATATATTAAAACTTCATTTTTGATTAGTAATATGCATTGCTAAGAACTTCATTTGGACAACTTTAAAGATGATTTTCTCAATATTTTAATTTTTTTGCACCCTCAGATTCCAGATTTTCAAATAGTTGTATCAAATATTGACCGATCCTAACAAACCATACATCAATGGAAAGCTTATTTATTCAGATTTCAGAAGATGCATAAATCTTAATTATGAAAAATTGTTTTGTGCTCCAGGGTCACATATTATTCATGCATGCAGTGTTGCAATAGTAATATATATATATGTGTATGTGTATATATATATATATATATATATACATATTAATTGATTTGCTTGCTTTTTATTATTTAAATAATAAAAATGATATTTGTTAGGATTAGTTATTATTTGCTTATTTTGCCCTTAGCATATCACATGCCTGATTATTACATTCTTAAAATATATTAAATTATATTTTATTATATTAAAATATCTTAAAGCATTTTAAATTATTTGTTAAAAGTTATTTAAATTGTTTAAATAAATAAAAAAATGTATTTAATTATTTAAATATATAATTATATTTTTCATTTAGTGTAGGAAATGTTTTAGTAATTTTGTTGTTTTTTTTTAGTAGGTCTGTATACATTTTATAAATTTTTAATAATAAAATCTATTATTTTTTTATGAATATATAATAATTAGTATAATAATTAATTTGTATTGATAAAATCTCTGTGTTAGATTTAATTTTAGTGCATCAAGTTCAACTAAATGTTGCCTTGAGAAATACCTGAAATAAAATAAGTTTAAGTTGTTTTTTTATAATATTTTATTTCAGTTAACGTTTATTTATTTCCGTTAAGGAATGTTTTTTATGGTTTTAATTTACTGTAATAGCACATAGATGAGCTCGAAGCGTGTCGACATGAAATAAAGCGTGTGTGAATGTCTCAGAGGTGCAGGCGCTGCTGCTCTCGGATCTGCTGGTGCTTCTTCAGAGGGCTGCTGACGAGCGGCTCGTCCTGCGCTGTCCGTCTCGCTCGCTGGGCGCTGCTCCAGACCTCAAGATCCCCTTCTGCCCCATCCTTCGCCTCGACTCCGCCCTCGTCCGCTTGGTTGCGACAGGTGAGAGTGGAAACGTTCACTGAGCGTACTTTAAAAAAAAAAAAAAAAGGATGGAGAAGATTCAGAGTTGCTTTAAAATATGTAACAAACTCGTTTCCGTCTTGCAGACAATAAAGCGCTGTACGTGATCAGCACGTCAGAGAGTCAGATCTATGAGCTGGTGGCCGGGACGTCGTCGGAGAAGAACACGTGAGTCTCCGCTCGGTCCTCATTGGCTGCTTGTGTGAATGATCAGGGAGCTTTATTTATTCCTTCATGTTTCCTCACAGTTGGAAAGATCTGCTGGAAAAGACTATCGCCGCAGCGACTCGAGGAGCGGGATCGAGCAAACAAGGATCGCCAGTGCCGTACGTCACACCATCAGCACACAAACACTGAAAACTACAGCCATATCATGACTAGTTTCTGATCAACTTGCGTCTGCTCTGTTTCAGGTCCTCAGATGCGCGTTCATCTGCCAATCCATTAGGTAAGAGCCGTGTGTGAAGTGGTCGACATATGAGGGGGGAATTACAAATATAATGCCAGCATATATACTGCCGTTCAAATGTTTGCTGTCGATATGATTTGACTTTTTTCCATCAAGGATGCATTAAATGGATCAAAAGTGACATTTAGAACATTGCACGTTTCAAATAAATGCTGCTCTTTTGAACTTTCTGTTCATTAAAGAATGTTGGAAATAAAATGTATCACCGTTTCATCAATCCATGTGTTTTCAACATTGATAATAATCAGAAATGTTTCTTGAGCAGCAGCATATTAGAATGATTTCTGAAAATCATGTGACACTGAAGTAATGATGCTGAAAATTCAGCTTTGATCACAGGAATAAATTACAGTTTAACAGAGATTCACAAAAACAACCAGTGATTTTAAATTGTAAAAATATTTCACAATTTTTACTGTATTTTTGCAGCTTTTATAAACACTTTCGAACAGTAGCACATAATGCATTTATACACATTTAATAAAAACAGCTGCTGAAATGAACAGTTATTTTACACAGACATGTTATTATTCACTTGAAAGACTTGTCTGAAGATTTTAGACATTGTGGTTTTCTTGTAATTGTTCCCATTCTTATTGTGCGCATTTCAGCAGTGCACATTAATCTGAAGGTTTCTGTAATATTTCATCAAAATGCATTAATTTGCTCAGACGTTTCCTGTACTGTTCGACTCAGAAATGTCACATTGCAGAAGTAAGATGCATAAGAAGAGCGTGACATAATTTCCCCCGTGTCTGTCAGATGCATCGGAGTCGTCCGTGTGTCTGGAGCGGGACTCTGCCAGTGATGATGAAAGTGCTCTCACACCGACAGACGGATCGGACGCACGCCGTCATCAGGATAGAGTCGGGTTCCTCCGAACCAAAGCTGCTGTCGCCGAAGCTGCTCTTCAGGACGGTGAGCCATTGTGTTCGCTTGCTAGTTTGTTGCTTTTTGTTTTATGCAGGGTTTCCGCAGGTCCTTGAAAAGTCGTACATTTAGTTGTCACATTTAAGGCCATAAAAACTCTTAAATGGTATAAGAAAGGCTTAATTATGATTTCAGGAGGTCTTAAATTTGGGGACGGGAAGACGAGAATTTATACGGCTTAATGTGTGACTTCATTAACTGTGACCCTGGACCACAAAACCAGTCATAAGTGTAAATTTTTCAAAATTTTGATTTATACATAAGCTGAATAAATGCGCTTTCCATTGATGTATGGTTTGTTAGGATAGGACAATATTTGGCTGAGATACAACTATTTGAAAATCTGAAATCTGAAATCAAAATATTGAGAAAATCATCTTTAAAGTTGTTCAAATGAAGTTCTTAGCAATGCATATTACTAATCAAACATTACGTTTTGATAGATTTATGGTAGGAAAATTACAAAATATCTTCATGGATCATGATCTTTACTTAATATCCTAATGATTTTTTGGCATAAAAGAAAAATCTATGATTTTGACCCATACAATGTATTGTTTGCTATTTCTACAAATATACCCCAGCGACTTAACACTGCTTTTGTGCTCCAGGGTCACACATAAACATGAGCGCTGTACATTTCAAAGTCAGGTAAACCGCTGTATTCACTATTTCTGCTGTGCCACCTGCTGGTAGAGAATGCATTTGCATTTTCAATAAGCCCGTCTGCTGTTTTTTTTTCAGACTAAAGCGAAAATCTATTTTTTTTTTTTAATGAATATAATAATTGTTTAAGTTAAAATAATAATTGATACTTTGATCCATTTTCTTATACAGGTGCATCTCAATAAATTAGAATGTCGTGGAAAAGTTGCACACAGACTGAAGTAGTTTAAGTCTTCGGTTCTTTTAATTGTGATGATTTTGGCTCACATTTAACAAAAACCCACCAATTCACTATCTCAACAAATTAGAATATGGTGACATGCCAATCAGCTAATCAACTCAAAACACCTGCAAAGGTTTCCTGAGCCTTCAGGCTACACAATCATGGGGAAGACTGCTGATCTGACAGTTGTCCAGAAGACAATCATTGACACCCTTCACAAGGAGGGTAAGCCACAAACATTCATTGCCAAAGAAGCTGGCTGTTCACAGAGTGCTGTATCCAAGCATGTTAAATGAAAGTTGAGTGGAAGGAAAAAGTGTGGAAGAAAAAGATACACAACCAACCGAGAGAACCGCAGCCTTATGAGGATTGTCAAGCAAAATCGATTCAAGAATTTGAGTGAACTTCACAAGGAATGGACTGAGGCTGGGGTCAAGGCATCAAAAGCCACCACACACAGACGTGTCAAGGAATTTGACTACAGTTGTCGAAGAGATTTTCTGTCCGTCCAAAAGTCAGTACCAGCTACTTCGCACATATAGCTTATAAAACAAAACATGCAGCACAGTTCTGCTCTTCAATATCTTGTTTACTTGCTACTTAAAATGTTTGTCTTGTTTTCTCAGTGGAAACTCTCCGGCAGCTGATCTTCAGAGACCTTGAGGACGCCTGGAGTCAGGATTCAGATGACACGCCCACAAATGAGACGGCCAATGAAAGGAGTCCTTTGACAGACGGAGCAGGGACGGAGTTATCTGATCCCGCCCCCGGTGAGAGGCCCAGCCAATGGGGGGAGGAGTCTGTAGAAGCTCCGCCTGTGGAGGCGCTGCAGTCGCCCGTGCAGGTGGTGAGGAAAGGTAAACGCTCGCCACCATATTACATGATGATCATAGTTCTCGAGCAAAATATCATACAGTGATTAAAATCACATTTATCATCCAGTGTTTATATTTAAAGGGATAGTTCACCCAAAAATGAAAATGACCCCATTATTTACTCGCCCTCAAGCCATCCTAGGTGTATATCACTTGCTTCTTTCAGACGAATCAAATAGGAGTTATATAAAAAAAACGCCCTGGCTCTTCCAAGCTTTATAATGGGAGTGGATGGGTGTTATTTTTCAATAGTCCAAAAGACGTCAAATAAAGCGCATCCATCCATAGTATAAGTGCCTCACACGGCTCCGGGGGGTGAATAAAGGCCGCGAATCCATGCGTTTTTGTAAGATAAATATCCATATTTAAAACTTTATAAACCATAATCATTGAATTTGCTTCAGGAAGCCTTTATTCACCCCCCGGAGCCATGTGGGACACTTTTTATGATGGATGGATGCACTTTATTTGACACAAATAATTTATTGAAAAATAAAATTAATGTTATCGAAAAATAACACCCATTCACTGCCATTATAAAGCTTGGAAGAGCCAGGACAATTTTTTATATAACTCTGTATTCGTCTGAAAGAAGAAAGTCATATACACCTAGGATGGCTTGAGGGTGAGTAAATCATGGGGTAATTTTCATTTTTGGGTGAACTAACCCTTTAAATATTTATTTCAGCTTTATTTTGATTAACGAAAATGTTCTTGATTTCCCTCTCTGTTTTCAGAGAATTGAAGCGTTTGTTTCTTCTCTCTTCTCTCTCTCTCTCTCTCTCTTCTCTCTCTCTCTCTCTCTCTCTCTCTCTGCATGTGCTCAGAGCTCACTGTGATGAAGCTTATGTGATTTAACACACTTCTCTCTTCTCTCTTTCTTTCTGCTACTTCTCCACAACACACTCACACACTATCTCTCTCTAAAATAAAAGAATGCTTTTTAAGGCAGAAGTTCAGTTCACTAAACTAAAAATGAAAGTAAATAAACACAAGAGCACAGATTAATTGTATTATATTTTGATTACCCCATTACTGCTATCATAAAATACACTTACTACTGTAGTAGGTTTAGAATTCTACATATGACACAATTATTGTCTGTTCACAATTTTTCAATTTTTTTTAGTTTGCTAAGTAATTGACATTGCTGCAGTTTTCCTTTTTCTTTATCGGTATTCATTTGTTTTATATTTTCATTTTAACTAGTAATTTTGTTTATTTTTGTCTATTTTCAATTTTTGCTTAGTTTAATAATTCTATTTTTACTTTTATTAATTTTCATAATATTCAGTTTTAGTTTTAGTACTTCAAATTATTGTAATATTTCTCATTTTAATGTATTTAAGTTCCCATCTAATATTTATATCTTATTTTATTGTTTATTTTATTTTATTTTAAATTTTCAGCTTCATTTCAAATAACAAAAATGTTTTTGTCGTTTTTATTATTTTTGGCTTAGTTGAAAATTCCTATTTATTTATTTATTTGCAGTTTTAGCAATTTTAGTACTTGAAAATAAAATAATTTTGTTAATTGGCCAGGCAACATTTCTAATTTTCATTTACTTTGTTTTCAGCTGATATTTATCTTTTTTTTCCCCCCCACATTATTTCAGTTGTATTTCTTTATACGTTTGTATTTTTAGTTTCTGTTACCAATAACAAGGCTGTGTTGCTGTGCTGCTTCCAGGAAACATGTTTTATCTGGTCATGCCCAAAGATCAGTCGAGCGCTCTCACAGACGAGAGCAGCACAGACGAGCTCAAAGACTCCGACGCATCTCACAACATCCAGCAGACTCCAGACATGTCCTTCATCAGCGAGGAAGAGTTTAGTACTTCAAATTATTGTAATATTTCTAATTTTAATGTATTTAAGTTCCCATCTAATATTTATATCTTATTTTATTGTTTATTTTATTTTAAATTTTCAGCTTTATTTCAAATAACAAAAATGTTTTTGTCGTTTTTATTATTTTTGGCTTAGTTGAAAATTCCTATTTATTTATTTATTTGCAGTTTTAGCAATTTTAGTACTTGAAAATAAAATAATTTTGTTAATTGGCCAGGCAACATTTCTAATTTTCATTTACTTTGTTTTCAGCTGATATTTATCTTTTTTTTCCCCCCCACATTATTTCAGTTGTATTTCTTTATACGTTTGTATTTTTAGTTTCTGTTACCAATAACAAGGCTGTGTTGCTGTGCTGCTTCCAGGAAACATGTTTTATCTGGTCATGCCCAAAGATCAGTCGAGCGCTCTCACAGACGAGAGCAGCACAGACGAGCTCAAAGACTCTGACGCATCTCACAACATCCAGCAGACTCCAGACATGTCCTTCATCAGCGAGGAAGAGGAACAGGAGACACCCTGCCTCTCTCCAACAGACCAATCACTGACTGAGACCCTGAGTCACAGGGAAAGACTCGGCCAATCACAGCCGAGCGTACAGCGACATGTGATCAAAAATGTGGATGAGATCTTCAGCACCATGGAAGAGCTGATGAGGAAACTGCAGCACCTGCGGGTAAAACACACACACATCACTCTCACTCTCTCTCTCACACACACACACACACACACACACACACCACT